GGTGATGATGAGTGGATGGATAAATGGATGGACAAACAGATGGATTCCTGGTAGGCAAAGTCACCAGGTCATGACCTGAAGTCATGTTTTGTTTGCTAAACATGTTACAGCTAACTTGGGCTGGGTTTTACTTTCCTTTTCATGGGAAACATGTATCCCCAAATTTTGCTAAATGTCTATTCTTGGGGAATCTGGTTCTAAAGCTGAATAATGGAGGGAGCATTGTACTGACCTGCATGTCACTAGATCTCATGTTGTAGTCAGCACTAGAGCCTAAAACTGGGGGGGGGGGGAGCCCAAAATTGCAGTAAGAAATAATAGCCTCACTGCACAACCAAGGGTTGAACTCTGTGTTTGAGCAGCATGGCGGGGTGATGTTGCGAGATCGTGGGCGAATCACCTGGCTTCAGTTTCCTCACTTTTAAAATATGGGCTAGTCTCTAAGTGTTCTTCTGCTCTTTGATTCTCTCAGATTCTAAGCTAAATTGTGGGGAACACACAGATAGATACCTTTACTTTAAAGATGGCAGGTGGCCAGGGTCAGATGCATCCATGCTGCCATGTCCCAGGCAGAACCTGATGCATTTCTGAAAGTTAAACCAAGCAGGCAGCTTCGAACGCTATTGGAATGTCAGGCAGCAGTGCAGGATGTTGTCGGGCATCTGTATTCTGCTTTTGAAACAACAGTATTCTGTCAAAGATGAATCCATGTCATTATCTAATGGCTGTTGTCATTTTAGTGTGGCGATCAAGAAGGAAAAATGAAAATAATATCTTATGTAGAGAAACAGGTATGAAGGTATTTCATGACTTGGAGTGCAAGGTTGTCTAGAATATAATACAGACCTATCAATAACTTGGTTAAAACAGTTTACCTGCTTTACATGAGTAATCTCAGTTCACTGATCTTCATTCAAGTTCACACTGAAGTTATTTAACTGAGGGCTGCACGATGCGCCACACAGACCAAAGCATTATAGATTTTTTTCCCCCATGTAATACACAAGTCCAAATTGATTGCAGCCACACATAAATTTAGTCGAATCTTTAATACATTCTATTAAAGTGTGAATACGGCTTTAAAGCTTTGTCTTAGCTACAGAGCAACTGGAACTGGAGTTAAACCAATTGCAAACAGCCAGAATAGAAAGTTACCTTTGGACATGGTACTTATTCCCAACAGTCTACCACCTAAAATAATGAACTTTTTCTTTTCAAATGTAAAAATGAGCAATTACCTGTCATTATAAAATGACCGATTTCACAGAGGAGCTGGTTTGGCTTCCTTTCCCTAGGGAGGCTAACCTCTATCACACTGCCCGTGGATACATGCCTCACATGTCATGTACCTGTATGCCCCATGCCCCATTTTCTAGAACAAAAGTTATCTTTCAAAACACAAGAAAGGCACCAGCCATTTTTCCCACCTCTAGTTGAGGCAGGGAAAGTATATTTCAGTAGCCCTGCTAGGTAGCTGGCACAATCTGCAGTGTTGTAGAATGGCTAGGCAAATTTTGGACTGAGTGGTACAAAATATAGCTGTGTACTTCCAGAATTATTTAAACTTTAAATAATTTGGAGTTCCTTTCTGTGGAAGGCTATGAAAAGATCAGATAAACCTGTTCTCTACTACAGGCAAGAAATCATACTTGAAGACAGGATCGGGTTTCAGAGTTTTGCATTACAATATTGCAAATACAGGTTATGTCCGGAGGTTTCTGGGGGGCTTGCTTGATTTGACGTGACTGTGCACATGTCTCTAGGAAAGGGAGGAAGAGGGAACCTTACTACTTTGGAAGAAGAGCTAGGAAGGATTATTTTCATCTGCACTCTCCTGTATGATAGGCAATAGCCGTATGCTTCCTCTCTCAACTGAGATGTGCTGTAAAAGTAAAAACTATACTGAGTTTCATAGACTTAGTATCAAAAAAAATGCAATTAACATCTCAATTTTAGCACTGCTTACATATTGAAATCACATGTGAAATTGCATTTCTTGTATATTGAATTAAATATTAAAATTGATTTCACCTATTTGAACGTGATTACTCAAAATTTTAAATTATGATTTACATTTGGTATTTTCACTAGACAGAATTGCTCAGTGTCCATTTTACATAGTGGGATTGTAGTTAATGTTTACTTTCTTGTGTTTCTTTATTTTCATGAGAAAATGAAAGTACTGTGACTCGAAAAATAGATATCATGGATTTTGGAGTTTGGGAATCATGGGTCCTGGCTGTGGCTTTTGACAACTCATCTCTGGTTGTTGACTTTCTCATTTGCTAAATGAAGATACTGTGTTGACCTCACAGGTCAGAGATCACCAGGTTCTCAGGGATGAGAAATGCATGGGAAACAAATGGAGTGCTTAGAGAATGACAGAGAAAACCCAGAAACAATTCAGCATTATTCTTCCTTGTATCTCAAGACCTGCTGGATGTATTATTGTAAGACTCTGATCTATTTCTACTCCAATCCTTTGTCTCTTGTTCAAGTTTGTACTTGCCGTTATACCTACCTGCTCTAGACCCAGAAAAAATACTTTTCCTTCAGAATCTCTCATATGGCCCCCTATCTGCTGCCAGTTATTCAGAATGAGCTACTTCTCACTTAATTAGCTCATTTTCATTTCAGAACAAGAATTTCATCCTGGCTGAAACTACAAACCAAGCCATAGGTCTTGATCTGCCCTAATCCTATCTCCTATCTGGATTCCAGGTCTTAGTTTTTACCAAACTCTGCTTCTCTTGATAGGATGATCAAAGACCACTGAGGCCAGGCAAGTGTGTGTGGGAAGTTACAGAAGAATAAGGATCAGGTAAGGAAGAGATCATGAGAATGAGAAACAAACACAGGGGAGAAGTAATTTTGTAACTCCTCTCCCCCTGCCCCACAGCCCTCCTTTTCTCAGTGCCTTTGCCAGTTGGCTTTAAAAGCTGTACTCTATTCAGTCCATAGCAAGTACATGGCACGTCTTTCATCCTCCTAGATTCTGCTGCCTGAAGAACCTCCTCCCACAATGTAGCATACCACACGTCTAAAATCATGCACTCAATTTCCATATTCTGAGAAATAGCTCCTTAGATGAAGATGGTTGTACTTGTTCTGTGAAACTCAGCGACAGAGAAGAAAAATGTAAAGCTTTGTGAAGACACATAGCTTGCCCGGGTATGGCAAGTTTCCTAGCTTCTTTACAGCTAATGGGATGAACTGCTTCCTCAGAGCCACATGAGATGAAAACAAGGAGCAGAAACTTGGGAACAAATTTGGGATAGTACAGGTGGCTGGAAGCATCTGTGCTCCTCAAAGCAATGAAAAAAGCCCCCGATTTCTCATGCAAGTATTTTTTAAAATCAGAAAAGTTCCCCCCACCCTGCCCCTTCTCCTCCAGCAGCTGTAACTAGGTGATTAGGAATAGACTCTTGACTTAAGATAGTAGTTTTGCCTTTTCATCAAATCAGAGTTACTTTGCCTATTTTTAGATTTACTGACTGTTCTCAGGGTAGCAAATTCAAAGGGAAGAAATAAGCAAATCAGTTTGGATTTCAAAGCCAGGGCTGAGGTCTGACAGGAAGAACCTTTGGAAGTTACCAAGGGTACAGTTTCCCAGGCCCTCCGTGCTGACAGAAGGGCTTTATGGAGACTTGTCTTTGGGAAACTGAGCTATTTCAGTGCCAGAGAACATACCATGGGGGCCCTTAGTCTTGTGCACCCCAGGCAAGGGGTGCTCGGGCAAGCCAACCCTGGGTGCACGAACATGGCTTTTTCCTGGAGCATTTATTACTGAAATATTTGCAGTCAACCATGGGCAGGCATCAGTTGCTGCCAACTATCACTTCCCTGCAGTTTCCTAGAAAATGCAAATGAACTTTCCTTATGACTCAAATTTTGGAGAGGGAGGAAGCATTCCTGAAAACTTAAATATTGTTTGAAGATATCAGCCCTCTATGTGAGAACTTAGATTCTGGGTTCTTGGCTTCCAAGAAAAAAAAAAGCAAATGCCCTAATCTTCCTTGTTTTCTCTCTGTAGATCAACTCTTTTTTGATAACTGTGACTTCAGTTGTTCATGAGCTACAGAACATCTTTTTCTGTCAAAACTGCAGACATGGGGATGATCAGATCACATAGTCAGAATGCCAGCTCGCTGGGATGCAAACAAGTGTACATGCAGCCAGCATCTGGTCCATGTAGGGGACAGTGAGTGATGTCTCTCAAGGGCCTGATGGTTTCCGTGCTGCCAATGTCGCAGTTTAGTGCCAAAAAAGCAATGAGCATGTTCCTAGCTAAACTTGAAGTTTGTTGGTGGTGGTTTTGGTTGAATTTTTTTCCAGTGTGAAGATGGAAGAGATGATGTACCTAAGAGTGACTGAACTGAACCAGAGGTGCTGTTGCAGATGTCAGCCTCATGATTAGAGTGTGCACACCTAGCACATGTATATCCAAAAAACATTCTTGGTGATGCACTAGCCTTGATTTTGCTTCCCCTGAAATCAAATGCAAAGTCAGTGTTGTTAAATATGCTTCTTCATTACCAAAGGGGAAACTGTCATTTGACTTAAAAATATCACTGGGACCTCATTATGCAATTGTTCTTTAAAATATAAATACTGTTTCATCTAATATGGCTGTACTATATGTATATATCTATTTCTTTAAAACAAGACAAAACCAGATTTATGGACAACATAAAATATTTTCTGGATACACCAAGAACAATGAAAACACTTTTAAAATTAACAGGCATCAACAGGTATAAATACACTGTCTAAAGCATTTAATGGTCTTTAACGGAGCCAACTCCCCCAAGCTTGAAACAGCGTTAAATTCTCTTTTGCTGGTGGCAAAAGAAGCTGTCAAGCACAACACTGATAAATTGGTACCATTTCCTGGCCAGTAAGCACAGAACTAAGGGGCTAAATATTTTATGATTTTTTTGTTTGTTTATTTTTGTTCTCATGCTGCTTCTTTTCCCCTCTCCTCTCTCTTGCCTGCTCAGGGCTGATTGTCGTGACATTAGCCGTATGCTGGATGCCAAACCAGATTCGTAGGATCATGGCTGCAGCCAAGCCCAAGTACGACTGGACCAAGTCCTACTTCCGGGCATACATGATCCTGCTACCCTTCTCCAACACCTTCTTCTACCTCAGCTCCGTGGTAAACCCGCTCCTGTACAACGTGTCCTCGCTGCAGTTCCGCAGGGTGTTTGGGCAGGTGCTGCGCTGCCACCTGAAGCTGCCCCACGCCAACCAGGAGAAACGCCTACGCGCCCAGGGCAGCTGCAGCACCGACAGTGCACGCTCGGCCCGCAGCCCGCTCATCTTCTTCACTTCCCAGCGCAATTCCTCTGTAAGGAGAACTAACAAGGTTTTCTTGAGTACTTTTCAGAGCCAGGCCATGCCCAAGACTAAGCTCCAGCCACTGAGTCAGGAGTCAGCACAGCCCAACTCAGAGATGAAGCCAGTCAACTCTGCCACAGAGAAGGGTTTTCAGGAGCACGAGGTATGAAGATTAAGAGAGGAAGCTCTGAGTGGGACCTGGCCCTCTCTACCAAGCAACGTTACCCTCAGCAGCCCCAAGATAAAGTGAGCCCCCACTGGGGACACAATAAAGTTAAAGGTTTCTGAAAGGGCAGATGCCCTCTCTGGTGGCTTCTAAGGGCCGATTTCTGCCAACTGGCCATGGACTCTGGCTTACAGGGGTGCTGCACTTGGCACCACTCTCTTCCTTCAAGTACACATTAAAAATTCAGCTGGACTGTTTCTGCTGGGAGCTCTTTCACTATTTGCAAATGAACAAAAAGAATAGCCTCCTCTCTCCCCAGAATGAAAAGACACTCAGAATAAACTCAGGGAGGTGGGGAGCAAGGGCCCGAAGAACAATACAGGCAGGGTGGCAGCTCCTTCAGCTTCAACAGTGTGCCAAGAAGAGGGCTAATTTGAGGAGCAGGACAGTGGTAGGGAATGTGGGCCTGAGGGCCGAGGCAGAGCTGCCCCTTTTCTTGGGTCTCGGCCCGTTGCAAAGAGGCGTGTTGCAGCAGCTGATGCACACTGAGTTCAGTTTCCCTGGGGAGCAGAAGGACTGGTACCCGGCAGAGGCGATGAGACAGGCCGCGGAGGACGCACAGGACTTGCGATACATGATCCCTGCAACACAGACCCAAAGGAGCTGGGTTAACGAGCACTGGCCAAGTCCCTCTGTCCCTCCGAGCCCAAATCCACAGGGGTAGTGCTGCCTCACTCCTTCCACAGCCCAAGAACTTGATGAGCCTGGAAGGCACTTCAGCTTGCTTCTCTGAGCTCCCCAAAGTTAGAGCTATGGCTAAAGAGGCAGCCACCATTGTACTGTTTTTGACAAAATGTTTTCAGAAGCTATTTTAGATGCTTACACCAGTGAAAAAAGAACTTAAAAAAGCCAATCTTCACACACTTTGTATTACAGGCTTTTATGTGCTTCAAACTATGTCATGCTAGGACAACAGCACATGGCTACGAGTGACCACAGAGAAATGGCTCTCAACTATGTGTTTATATAATAAATTCTGGAATACCTTGACTAAAGACTAATTCCTCAAAGGGAATAAATCGTTACTGTAGGGGGTCTGACCTTTCCCAGGTTTGAAGGATCCAGTGGGTTTATTGGAGATATGGCCTGGCTGACTCTTTCAGGGAAGAAGCTCTGTCTTTAGGTCTGTCCTTAGGCCATCTGCCAAGTTAACAGCAAAGAGCTAGTATTCAGTAACATGCTATACTATCTGGGTTCATAAACTTCTTGGGAAGACTGGAGACCTATTCTCAAGGAGCCTATGTGTCACTGAATTAAGGTGTCCTGCATAATCAATTGACTTCTTAAAGTTGAGAGTTTACTCAAGTCAAATAACAGCTAAGTTATTCAAAGACTTTCCTGGGTGATGGATTCTACACAGATGCCTGTAGTGTACTAACACATGTACTGCTGTGTTTGGATCTAGCATGTCTGCCAAAGGTCCCTGTGTTAAGGCTTGTGCCCCCATCATGGTGCTATTGGGAGGTGGTGGCACCTTTGAGAGGCAGGGCCTAGTGGGAAGTCTTAGATCAATGAGGGCATATTCTTGAAGAGAACAGTGGGACCACACCCTCCCCAGCATGATATGCTGTCCTGTGACAGGCTATGACCAGGGACTGAAACCTCCAAAACCATTAGCCAAAATAAAGCTTTGCTTTTCCTAAGTAGATTATCCCAGTTATTTTGTTATAATAATGGAAAGCTGACTACTACATACTAAGAGCAGGCCAACAAATGAGGTCCCTTGGTCATCCTTACTTTACTCTTAAAATCCTGAGGGTCGGTAATTGAGGTTTTAAAAACTTACCCAACATCATACATGTTGAAAGTATAGCAACTGGGATTTGAACCTAGCATTTTGGCTATTATCTGTAATACTGCGTAGCAATGGACAGTGAATTAACACTGAAAATGGTAGTTTGTAGGGTGGCTCTTCTCTGAAGATGATTTTTGGTGTGTGGCTATTTTCTATCAATGAATTTTTTTTGACAAATGTTTAACACTGAAGGACTTTGCAATGAGTAGTCTCCACCCGTTTGCTCTTGTGTACAACTTAGAGACATAAAGCATCAATCTCACCAGTAGGTGGGGGCCTCTGCCCCCTAATTCCCTACAGATGTTTGGGCAGATGTGGTCTAGGTTTGCCTCCTCCATGAGAATTGCTGCTTTGGGTGTATAGAAATAGTAAAGAACCAGACTAGCAAAAACTACAAGTGAGAAGTACAAAGTACTTTAGATTTGCCTTCAAACATGCAATTTTATGTCATTTTTTTCTCTATAACTACACATTTGGAAAAACTGATTTTTCTAGCACTGTTACAAAATCCTAGAAGGGTGCTGCTCTAGCAAGATAAAGCTCATGTAGAGAGGATGCATGTCCATGGGGGAGGCACTGTTTGATTTCTAAGGAATATGCTTCAGGTAATCACTACATTTTTCTATCCACTGTCCCTTTGGGAAACTAAGTTTTACTTACTATCTTTTTAGTCTTAATTTAAAAATATTAATGTTATTTGCCACTTCAAGTGAGTTTTCTTCCTTTAAATTAATTTTAAGAAGGTAGGAGGTATTGCACTAAGGAATGGGAAAACTTGAGATTAAGAAGGGCTTTGAGAAAGCAAAGGCATTTACTTCACACCCACCCTCTTGATTGAAGTTAGACTGGTGGAGATGCATGGGATAGGGCTGGGTAGGGAGACCCGGGAGGTGGGGTGTAGAAAGGCCGATTATTTGGAGTCTGCAAAGAGGGGAAAACATACTGCTTCTCCAAAGACCTCAGATAAAGAAGAGCACTCATGGTTCAACTTCACCAGGCAGCTGGGGAGGAGGAAGTAGTCTGAGGACAAAGAGGAGAGGGCAGGGAAATAGTAAGGATTGCCCTGGAAGGAGTATGTGATTGGATACCACACAGAAGCTTAAACGAAATGCCCTTAGGCAAGAGGAAGTCACAGCAGCCTGTGCTGGTGGCACTGGTGCAGAAAACCACTGCAAGGAATCTGAAGCAGAAAGAGGTGGAGGTGGGTGGAATGAATACAGTTGAAATGGAGTAAGAAATGTTGCTAAGTGGGAAGGATAGGATGAGAGTTTAGATCTATGAGCAGGTTCACTGCTTACACATGTATCAAGATAAATTCCAAGTGAGTCTAAAATCTAAATGTTGAAAAGGCCAAAAAAAAAAAAAAACAAAACAAACCCATAAAAGTACTAAAAGACACTCTAGAATCTTGGGCAATTTCTTCTATCATATAAGAGTAGTGAAGGTTCTAGGTTATTCTATGATACAACCCCAGAAGCCAATATAGAAAAAACTGACACATTCAACAAATTCAAATTAATATATACGTGTGTGTGAGAGCATATATGTGTATATATCTCCATAAAGACAAGTGAAATATTGAAAAAAAATCACAGTAAATTTTCTTAATAGGTCAAAAGTGTTCCAGCAATCAACAAGGAATACATTATAATAAGCCAGTAAAATAAATTATAAGCCATCCAAAAAAGGGAGAAAGCAAATGTACAGTTCACAGATAAGGACACAGGAAAAGCTTGGAAATACATAAAAAGATACCCACCCTCACTCATAAAGAGATGTGCAAATTAAAACTGCATCGAGACATCTTTTTTTCTTAGTACATGGGCAAAGATCAAAAAGCCCATTAGCACCACGTCCATGGGTCTTGGAAAAAGGTCCTCTCCCATACTGTTGATTAAGAGGGTAAACAGGTGTCAATTCCATGAAGATGACATGGCAATAGCTACCAACACTAGGACTACTGGATCCTACTTTAATGAATTCATCCTACAGACATTCACACATTAGCAAAATGTCCATAGACAGGAGTATTCATCAAAGAGTGGTTTTAGTAGCAGAAGAACAGATGATCACTCTATCATCAGGGACCTGGTAAATACCTTGTGTCTTATCTACACAGGAATGTCACACACCTCTGAAAGGAGAAGGATCAAATTCTGAGAATATTTTGTTACACATAAAGTGCAGCTGGACAATTCCTTTTCTTCCTTTTTTTAAATAAGTGAGTTCATGCTTCTTACTATGTTCTGGATAGTTTTAAGAGCTTTACAAATTTCAATCGTTTTAGTAACTCGACCAGTAATCCCCATTTTGCAGATGGAGAAACTGAGGCAGAAAACAGTTAAGTAATTTGCTTAGAGGATATGCAGATAATATGTGATAGAGCTGAGATTTGAACCAAGAAAACTTGGCTTCAGAAGTTAACCATTCCACTGCATTCCCATCATGCTAGAATTTGTATCCACTGGCAAGTAATGGTGATATCTGTACAAATGTATTTTGCATACATATGCACAGAATATTTTGAGAATAATACACAACAAAGAGATGATATTAGTTGTCTCAGAGACGTAGTAGGTGATCATAGAACAGGGGTGGAAAAAAACTGTAGGCTTGTTAGTATCTACCATTTGAAATCAGGACCATTAAAGTACCTTTCTCAAAATGACCTTTTAAAATAACACCTGCAATGAACCATTTTATTAAATGGCTTCCCTTTCCCAGGGGAGCACAGGGTCCTTCCTAGCTATGCCCATCAGAGACTCTTGGAAATGAATACACTCTGAGCCACAACAAGGTACCCAAAGCCCAACTCACAGGGCAGGGAGACTTGTATCTCCTTTTCCTTTAACTCAGTGCCCATGACCACAGGTCTTGGCCTGAAGGTGGAAGGGCTGTGAGTAAAACCAGAAAGGGCCTTCTCACAGATTACTGGTGGAAGCGTAAATCAGCATGCAATCAGAAAGATCTATAATATACATATGTATTTTTTTGTGTGGTACTGAGGATTGAACGTAGGGTTTTGTGCATGCTAAGCATGAGCTCTGCCACTGAGCTAAATAAATCCCCAGCCCTATAATAATTTAAAATGTACGAATCTAACAGATCCATTCCTTAGCATTTACCCTTCAAAACAAAACACACTTTCACATCCCTATCTGGAAAAAGGCATGTTCATAATACAGCATGT